CTTCCCTTCCCAGCCCAGAGCCAGCCCCCCCCAAACCAGCAGAGTTCCAGCAGCGGCCTTAGGGCCCCTCACACCCCGGCCAGGCCACACCCAGCCCCTGGCTTAAGTGGGGCACCCAAGCCCACCCCAACCCCCCGGGTGGCTCAGAGGTTGGGCCTGGACCCATAAACCAGGAGGTCAGGGCTCCATCCCCCGTCAGGGCACATGTCCAGGTTTGGGGCTCAATCCCCACGGGGGCCGGGCAGTAGGCAGCTGATGGGCCCAAATTTCTCTTATCACTGATGTTCCTATCTCTCTCTCCCTCTCCATTCCTCTCTGAATGGAGAGGGAGAGAGAGATTGATCTCTGAAATCAATAAAAATATACTTTTTTGAAAGTCCTAACCGGTGTGGCTCAGTGGATAGAGCGTCGGCCAGCGGACTCAAGGGTCCCAGGTTCAATTCCGGTCAAGAGCATGTACCTTGGTTGCAGGCACATCCCCAGTCGGAGATGTGCAGGAAGCAGCTGATCGATGTTTCTCTCTTGTCGATGTTTCTGACTCTCTATCCCTCTCCCTTTCTCTCTGTAAAAAATCAATAAAATATATTTTTTAAAAGAAATAGAAAAAAAAATAAAACAGTGACAATCACTGACACCCAAAGAATCCACCCTATCCATGAGTCCTTGACGGTTCTCAGCCAGAAAAATAGCCCATCTGTCGGCATCCGCTGCCACCTCACGCCAGCCCCTCACCAGCCCCTGGCTCTGAGAATCCGGCCCAGATCCCGCCTCCCAGGGGAGCTGTCATCCAGAGGAACAGAACGGGCCGGTTCTGCTTTAGATAATGACACGCTAGGATTTGGAAAACATCCAACCGATAATGAGATTCCTGAGCAGGCCAGGGTTATCCGTGTGGACACCCTGAGGTGAACAGAGGGTCATGGGGCCAGCGTGGCCATCAGGGAGGGGGCAGATGAGTGGGCAGGGACCTCCAGGCTGTGACTGCCCCCGAGTCAGGGTGTGGGAACCCTAAAGAAAGCACGGGGATGTTCAAGGCCAGTGTGAGCGTGGGGGGCCTGTCCTGGGTACACGGGGGCCGACTTTACCAGCTGCAGGTGCAAAAGCGAGGACACAGGACGCACGACCTTACTGTCCGACCCAGGGGGGCCCTTCCATAGCCCACGGGCTGAGGTTCAGCAAGAAGCCTCCTTTGTCTAAATTGGTACAAAGTATGTTACTGACCAGCCCGTATGTGGCTGCCTGGTCCACTGCTAGGTTTGTTTGTTGCTTTTTCAATATATTTTATTGATGCTACAGAGAGGAAGGGAGAGGGAGAGTGAGAAAAGAATCAATGAGAGAGAAACATTGATCAGCTGCGTCCTGCACGCCCCCTCCTGGGGATAGAGCCTGCAACCCAGGTGCCCTTGACCGGAATCGAACCCGGGACCCTTCAGTCCAAGGCCAACACTCTACCCACTGAGCCACACCGATTAGGGCGGGGCTGCTCAGCAGACAGACTATCGGCCCGAAGACGGAAGGGTCCCAGGTTGGGTTCGATTTCCGTCAAGGGCAGGTAGCACGGTCGCAGGCTCAATCCCCGCCCCGGTCAGTGCACCTGGGGGAGGTAACCAATCTATATGTCTCTCTCATCATGTTTCTCTCTGTGTGTCCCTCTCCCCTCCACTCCCTCTAAAAATCAATGGGAAAATGTCCTCGGGTGAGGAATAACAACAAAAATAATAAAAAATATATC